GCCTCCCCCTGCTGCCCCCACAGTTGGCCGCCACAGCCCTGTCCCCCACACATGGCCCCAAGCAACAGCCACGCACACAACCCCATCCCTGTCTCCAACCCCACACACAGACCCGAGACACAACCATCCACGCTGACCCTGGCCCCAAGCCCCAGACCCACACACCACTCCCAACCCTACACCTGGCCTAATGGCCCCAACCTGCCACACAGACCCACACCCCCAGAACCACCAGACAGACCCACCCCAGCCTACTCACTTGCCGTACGAGTTCATGCACCCCAAACCCCAGCACCTACTCAGGGCTCAGAGCAGCACCTCTCCAGGGGTGCCCCGGCCCCACATTCACCTCCCGGCGTGCAGCTCTGCACCAGGATGCCCTGGCCGTGGGTCAGCGGTGTCAGCGTGTGGTGCACCAGGTCAGCAGGGAGCCCTGTAGCCTGCAGCAGGGCCTCCACAGCCACCTCCTGCAGCAGGGCATGGGAGGTGAATGGCTGGCCAAGACCTACTGGCCGCAGGCCCAGCTGAACAAGGGTGTCCTGTGCCCCAAACACTGCTGGAGACCCCACTGGAAGGGAAGGGAGGACACAGCCCTGCCACACTCTGGCAGCCACTGCCTCCCTCCCCCCACTGTGGCCCCAGCTCCTACCTCGGCACTGTTGAAGCACAGCAGGATGTACATCTGTAGTGTGGACACGTGGAGGACACAGTCTCCAAACTGCAGCTCAGCGTGGCCCAGCCATGTCCACTGCAATCGCTGGGGCTTCGTGCACTCCCAGCCCAGCCGGCTCTGGCCTGCCAGGGACACTGTCAGTACAAGGGCCAGGGACCAGCCCCAACCGGCACTCCCAGCCCACGCCAGCACGCCGCCACTTCTGGCTGAGCTGCTGGGGAGGGTCTGGGCCCCGGCAAGACCCGCACGCACACCCACTGCCACAGCACTCACTCTGCTGGCAGAAGTCAGCAAACTCATCCAGGGGGGAGCTCAGCGTTGCTGAGAAAAACCTCCCAGGGTTATCCATGTAACAGAGTGGGGAAACAGGCCAGCAGCGTGGGGACAGGGCCAGCACCTTCACTTCTGGCACATCTGCCACCGGGGCTGTCTCCAGCACCTGGGCACGGGGACATGAGGGCGGCTCAGCTCAGGCTGCAGGATCCCCATGAGGAATGCCGATGGTCTCCAGCCTCCCCACCCCACCCTCTCACCTCATCCAGGCCCGTGTCCAGCTCCAGCAGCCGCTTATCCTGCTCCTGCAGCTGGAAGAGGTAGAACTGCCGCTGGAGCTCCTCTGACTCAGCCAAGTTGCTCAGCATATCTTGGGGAAAGCGGCTGGGGAAGCACAGCCCAATCTGCTCCACGATGCCTCCTTCCAGCCAAGACGGCCCTTGTGTCAGGAGCCGGTCTCCCAGGTAGTGCCTGCCACAGCACCAGCATCAGGTCAGGGTTGGGCCCCAGCCCTGTGGTCATCAGCCACTCGCCAGGAGACAGACACAGCCCCGGCCTCACCCCATGCCACACAGGCCTGGCAGCACACACATTCTGGGAATGTGTGTGCAGGGAATGTGCCTCTGCATACTGGCAGCACCCACAGGTCCTCCATGCACCAGAGCCGGGAAAAGCAAAGCAGGAGCACCACTGCCACACTGGGCCAGGCTCCCCCACCACGCCACACCACCCTGCACCAGGCCCCTGGTTCCACGGAGACACAGCACCCTCACCTGTAAAAGTGCTCGAAGGTATGGGCGAGCTCCAGGCCACTGAAGACAACAAAGGGCTCCAAGAACTGCTGCAGCCGCTCCAGCGGCCCTGTGCTGCCCTGTGCTGCCCTGCGGAGCTCCTGGATCTGCACATCAAGGTAGCGGGCAAACTGCTCACTCACCTGTGAGGAACAGGGCTGGCTGTGGAGGGGACTCACAGAGTGGCCACAGTGCAGGCCTCAGGGAATGTCCCTTGGGGGAGCAGTTGGGAAGCTCTGGCACTCTCAGGTGGGGGTCAAGGGTGCCCAGGCATCAGCCCAAGGCACGAGTGTGCTGGGGCCAGGCCCACATCGTGATGAGCGCCACACACCCGCAGCTGGGGACCGTCTCAGGCTGCCGCAGGGCTCTGTGACTCAGTGGGGACAAGCACACCACCCACCCAGAGCTCGCCCCAAGGCCATGGGCCAGGGCAGCTCCCCAGCCTGCACCCGCCTGGGGCCACGGTACCGGTGCTGCACTCCCTTGACTCACATGCAGGGCAGTCAGGAAGGAGAGCTGCAGCAAAGCCCCTGCAAAGCCCTGGCCCAGGGCCAGCATGAAGGCGGCCTGCTGCCCAAAGAGCTCCTCTGTGGCACTGCGCAGGCGCTGGTACAGCCCGCAGTATTGCTCCGCAAGGTCTGGCACCTGCCCTGCTGCCTCCAGGAACTGCTGCACCTGTGGGACACAGAGCGAGAGGGGTGAGCCCCACAGCGGGATGTGCCCGTGGGAATGTCCGCAGCCCCAGCCTTGCTCTGCCAACACTGACTGCCCGGGTCCCAGCCAGGGGCCAACTCGGGGCCCTGTCACTGCTGCAGGCTGCCAAGAGCTTGTGGAGAGGGCTGGGCAGGGTCTGTGAGGGAATGACAGAGGCACAACAGCAGCCCAGCAGGAAATCAGGGGTCTGACACTGCACCTTTCTCTTGGCCTGGCAGCATCAGCTTGGGTGCAGGGCCTGGCTGACACCTGAGCCATGCCAGGGTGGCAAGTGCAGCAGAGCTGTCCCCACATCGCTCTGGGCTCTGTGGAGGCCTGGTACAGCCCTGTGCCCTCCCCATGCTCCCAGGGCACTGCCAGGCCTCACTCTCTGCTCCACCCACCCACTGTGGGTCCCACATGCCCCTCCCGGCCGGCCCTCCAAGCTCTACCTGCTGCTGCACCACGCCACGCCAGCACTGCGAGATTCCCCACAGGCAGCTCGACTTCTCCACCACTGCCTTCGCAGCCCTGGCCGGCACCTCCTTGTTCTTCCCCGCCTTCCCACCTGCCAAGGGTCGACCCTGGGGTCAGCGTGGCTCCGTGGGCAGGCCCCACACACTGATCAACCACAGCAGGCCAGAGAGGACGCTGGGCAGGCATGGCCATTGCTGGGCCATGACCACAAGCCTTTCCTGCCTCAGGAGCCTCCTGTGCCACAGAGCCCCCCCAAGACAAGCCCCACGGCCACAGCCTGACATCCTGGACCACCGTCAGCCCAGCCCCACTGGGCTCACCAGCTGCTCTTGTCTCCTCCGGCTCTGGGCCACCAGGGTCCACGTGCACCAGGAGCTGGGTCAGGCGCCGCACACAGGATCCAAAGGCAGCCCTGTGTCCCCTGGCACGGTGGGGCGGCTCCACGTTCTCCAGGTACTCCCTCAGCAGCCAGGCCAGGGGACTGACACCATCAGGGTCTGCGAGGTCAACCAGACTCAGAGCCAGCTGCCTCTGCCTGGGGCACAGCACGGATGGGCCCCAGAGAGCGCAGGGTACCTGGGCTAGTGATGCTTTGCACCAAGGGGTTCACCAGGGCCTCCCAGCACGTCCTGCCCAATGCCCGGGCTGCCTCGTCATCAGGAAGGAAGCGGTCGGCGAAGCCCTGCTCGTGCTGCAGCGCCCGGTTCAGTCTGCAACAGCAACCAGGCAGCACACGGTGCCAATGGCTGGGAGAACTCCCATGGGAAAGCAGAGGGACGTGGTTGCTCCCTGCTCTGCCCCTTGCCAGGCATGACGGCTCATGGCCCCACTTGCCCCCAGCAGCCAGGGTCCCTTGCTGCCCCTGGGACCTGCCCGCAATGGCCCTTGGGCCAAGCTGGGGGGCTCTGCAGTGCCTGTGGCCACGAGATCCTGCTGCGTCTGGCCGACCTCTGCCATGTCAGCATGTGCCAGCTCCCGTGGGGAACCAGCACCCCTCTCTGGTGGGTTAACTGAGCCCACACACCCACCCTAAACCTGGGGGACCTCAGGTGGCCCTGGCCCTCTGGGAGCACTGGTGGCCAGGAAGGAGTGAGGGCCCCTCCCTGTCCAGGCGGGACAGCCAGCTGTTCTCTTCCTAGCCCTGCAGTCCCCTCACGAGCTGCCAGCAACACCCCCTGGGGCCCTGGGACACCTGTGATAACACAGCCAGGAGACAACTCACCTGCCAAAGAGTTGCAGCAGTTGCCCTCGGTCCCGGCAGATCTCCTGGCCCCAGGCGTGAGCCTGAGCAGTGCAGGAGAGGAATGTCCGCCAGCACAGCTGCTCCTTGAAGACGGGCCAGAAAGTGGGCTTGGGACCCAGCACCTCGATGCCACGCACACGTGTGTCAATGCCACCCTACAGGAGAGCATGACCCTCAGTTCCTCAGGCACAGCCCTGACACCCCCCACTGCCAGCTCGCTGGCCTGGCCCCTGCTCCCCTACCTGCTGGCACCGCTTCACCCGGATCTGGATGATGGGCCAGAAGCGGGTCATGTTCTCCAGCAGGATCACTCTGCTGTCTGAAGGCAGGATGGTAACCTGCAGGCAGTGAGCCCTCAGCATGCCAGGCAGCCACACCCTCCCATGGCCAACCCCTATTTTAGCCACAGCCTCTGTACCCCCCAGTAGCCTCTCACACCAGGGCCAGACCTCCACAGGGCACAGCAAGGACCAGCCTGCTGCTCCCATGGGGACTCACTGTGTTGAGCTCCGTTCTGATGGTGGCAGGGTTGTCCCCACCCAGCACCACGACGCGGGATGGCATATAGCTGGAGTCCTCACTGGCCACCAGCATGCTCATCTCCCTGCAGCACAGCAAACACAGGGCTGCCCAGCAGTTCCCACCTCCCTGCCCTGGCCCTTGACATTCCCACGTACTGCTGTCCATGTCCGCTACCCCCAGGACAGGGACCACCGTGGCAGGGCTTGCACAGATCCCCAGAGCCCTCTCCTCCATACACAGCCCTCTCAGTCTTCCTGGCCCAGCCCCACCTGATCACCACACCACACTGCATGTGCACAGTGATGAAGTGGGAGCCAGTGCTGCCATTTGACTCCCAGTATGTCTTGGGGTTCCTGTCTGTGAGCTTGTTGGCCTGGTGTGGGTTGGAGGAGACCTGCACCTTCTCCCAACACTTGTCTTCCTTTACCTCCATGCTGGAGCCTGTGGGGAGAGAACACAGAGCCTTCAGCCACCAAGCCAGCACATGCCAGCACAGGTGTCAGTTCCCACTTCCAGCACTCACCTCGGCACAGGTTTTGCAGGAAGACATCAAAGAAGGGGATGGTGATGGGCTGGTGACTCCGGCGGTGCTCCTCAATCTGCCCCAGGACCAGCTACAGGATGGGGCGAGGCTCTTACTGGGGACCCCGAGTCCTCTCCCCTCCCCCACCGCAGAGCTGCGGCCAGCAGAGAGCAGAAGGCTGTCCCTCAGTGCTGGGGACAGCCTGATGGCCCCAAGACCCAGAGTCCCAGCACAGCTGGGCCTCCCCAGGCCCACCTGGATGCAGCCAGCCAAGATTCTGGTTGTCAGCTTCTTGTAGAGGCTGGCGTACTTCTCACAGTCCGTCACCAGGTTGAGCAGGGCTGGCGCCAGTGATGGAGCCACACTGTGCTTTTCCAGGGCTTTGGACAGAGCCTCATGGGTGCCCACGTGGCACATCACCACCACACAGTCCTCGCTGGCAGTGGCCAGGCGGTGCAGGAAGCCAACGACCTCCTGCAGCACCTGCTGAGCCACAGCCCTGAGCAGCCGGGGCGGTGCCAGGAACTCCCCTGGCACCCCCAGCTGTGGGTGCTGCAGCTCCATCCCCCCCACCCCCACCGCACCAGTGCCCACCAGAGTCTGGCCAGGCACAGCGCTGGGCACGTGGCCATCAGGACATGGACACGGCCAGGGCAGCTGCTCCCCACCTCTCCCAGCACGTTAGACACAACAAGGCCAGGCTGGGACCTGCTTCACCAACGCTGGGCCCGGCCAATGCACGGCACAACCAGCACAGCCAGCACAGCCAGTACAGCTGCCCTTGCCTGCCCGGAGTCCCAGGGCCCCCTCACCTCCCAGCTGCTGCTGTGGGCGCTCAGGGAGGACACACAGGGCTCCACACACTCATGCCAGGGCAGCACATCCTCCTGATAACTGTCCAGGAACTTGTTCAGGATCCTGAGTGACAGAGGGCGCATGGACAGCAGTGCCAGAGGCGGCTCTGCTTCCCTGCCCCACTTGGAAGGCACCATTCAGGGACTGGTAACCAAGGGTCCCCTTGTACCTCGGACACCCCATCAGCAGCCAGGCACATCCTGTGCTGCCCCTGCATGTCCCCACCAGCACCCAGGCACATCCTGCTCTGTCCCCTACCCAGGACAACCCAATCAGCACCTGCTTATGTGTTGGGGTGCTCCTGCCCCTGCCCCTGGTGAAGAACACCCCCACCAGGACCCACAAACATGTGCCATGTCTCCCCAACATCACCATCAGCACTCACACACCTGCTGAGGGGGCCCCAGACCCCCACCAAATCCCCCTGCACCCACCTGAGGATGCTCAGGCTCACAGCCTTCTCCGCCCCCAGCAGCTCCAAGCTGCGCAGCAGCAGCCTGAAGCAGCTGTGGTCCTGCAGCAGCTGGGACACCTGCCCAGAGGGGACAGGGCCTTCACCACAGAGCTGCCGTTCCAGGGCCACCACCACCTCCTTGGACAAAGTGCCATCCTCCAGGCTGCCCAGAAGCATCCGCACACCCTTCAGGTCCAGTGGGGCCTCTCTGCCTGCCATGACAAGGACACGTGGGCCCAGCTCAGGCACTGGCTTGAGAGGCAGCAGCCTCTTGGGGTGCTCTGCCCTGGCAGGCGAGGCAGCCCTGCCTGCAGCACCCGTGGAGCCGTGGCATGGGGAGGATGGGCAGCGCGGTACCTGCTGCCTCCAGGCCCAGGGGCAGCCCGTGCTCTGCGAGGCGGTTGATGGCGCGTAGGGCCAGCACCGCATGAGGGCAGCCGCTGCTCTGCCCGTCCCTCCAGCAGCTCTGCAGCACCGCCAGGAGGTCACAGCTCGCCAGCTGCTCCGCCAGGCCCCGGTGCCCATCCATCAGCATGTTCACCACCAGCAAGCCGTTCTGCACTCCTGAGGAGCCCCTGCAGGGACAAAGCCATGCGGGCACTCTCCTCCCCCAGGCACAGAGCCTCCCCTGAACCCACAAGCCACCTGCCTGCCATGCCCATTCCTCCCCACTGCGGAGGGTCCCCACAGCCCCAGCTGCTGTCCGCACTCTGCCCCTACCCTGGGACCCTCTGCATGGTGCTCAGGGCAGCAGGGATAGTACTCAGCAGACTGGCAGAGCCCTCGCTGGAGGCAGAGCCGATGCTGGCAAAGATCTCCCGCATCATCTGCACGTCAGCATGGTTCCAGGACAAGGACTTCCCACCTGCTGGCTCACCATCTGCAGCTCCCACCAGCACCTTCAGGGCCTGCGAAGACAGCAGTGGTCCAGAGGGCAGCGGGCATCTCCACCACACCTGGGTGAGCCTGCACACTGCCTGCCCACATACAGCATCCCCTCTGCCACTCACCGCCAGGCCAGCCTGCTGCACCAGGGTGGAGGAGCTGTGCTGCTGCATGCAGGCCAGCACGGCCCGCACGCCGCCCTCCGTGGCAAACGGCACACGCCAGTCGTGCTGCGCCATCAGCACGGCCAGCAGGCGCAGCATCACTGCCACCAGCGCCTTCTCTGCCACCTCAGTGCTCAGCAGCTCCACTGCCACTTGCACCAGCTTCTCCCTGCTTGGGAAAGGATACCTCAGGAGGAGCCTCCTGGCACTGCCGCTGGCACACCAGCACCTTGGACCCTGCCAGCCACCTCCTCTCTGCCCACACGGCTCTGCCACAGCTGGGTCAGCCCAAGGAATGAGCCTGCCTGGGACAAAGGGACACAAAATCCACTCTCCTCTTGCCAAGCATGCAGGGACATACCAGCCTGCACTCCCACTGCCACCTCCTGTATTCCCAGCTCCAGTACTGTCCCCCACCGTGCCGACACAGCCCTCCCCAGGCAGCAGGAGGGGTGTGCAGCACCCCACGGCTTACCCAGCGCTCCCGGTCCCCAGCCTGCCCTGGGCTGTGCCAACTTGCTGCTCAGACTTGGGCTCCTCCTCCAGGATCTTCAAGATTTGCTTGAGCCCAGCTAAGCGCAGCCCCACCGCTGAGCTGCTGCTCTGGATCACATCCACCATGGCTGCAATCTCGGCCAGCGAGCCGCTCTTGCTCACCCCTTTGGAGCTGCCCAACACTGGTCAGATGGAGGGAGGCATCAGGGCAGCATTTACACCCCCAGCAGCTCCCAGGGTGCCATGCATCCACAAAAGCAGCACCCACAGGCCACCCCACCAGCTGCCTGGCCCCCCATGCCCTGCCCAGAACCTTCCTCTCTTGAGGCAACAGTGCCACTTCCAGCACTGCGTGTGTGCCCCAGCACGTAGCAGGACACTACCTTTGATCTGCTCCTCCGTCACCTCTGGGAAGCACAGCCCTTCACTCCTAAGGAGCTCACTGAACAGCTGGGAATCGGAGTTCGCCACACTGGAGGCTTGGGGCGGTACTGTGGCTGCAGAAAGGTCTTCCTTTGCTGCCTTGGCCATCGTGGCTTCACAGCCAATGCTCCTGCAGCCACTGCCCTCTGAGGACACTGCAGTGCTCCCCCCACCATCCTGCTCAGCTCCCCTACTGAGCAAGTATCTGGCATACACGCGGCAGCCACGCAGGTCACGCAGAGTGCTGCCCTGGCACTGCTTCTCCAAGACCTGCAGCATCTTCTGGGCCAGCTCCACAGGTACCGACAGCCGGATCAGGGCTTCTTCATCCACCTCCAACAGCCAGACCAATGGGGCCGAGTTAATCTTGGACTCACCACAGACCTCATGCCCCTTGTGATAGCCAGTGGCGGAACTGATGGAAAGGCTGCACCGCTGGAGCTCCCCGGGGCCATTTCCCAGTGCCACCCTGGCTGTCCCCAACTCAACTGCCACCAGCCCAGACTTCCCACCTGCACTCACCACCCAACTGCAACTGGCAGAATGACCCCATGGCCTTGCCTCACCTACCCAAACCTCACTCAACAGTCACTCTTCCAGTCATGGGAGACTGCGTTTCCTCTCATCTCCCCTCATAG